TAGCTGCCGAAACAAGCAATATGCTTGGAGGTGCTAAAGTGCTTGAAATCAGCTTTGTTCCCTCAGGAAGTCAAGCGATATCCATGCAACCCTCATGGGTCGTCAGTCAGCCGGACGGGAAGATGACACGTCCTGACAGACAAATCGTCTCCAATTCCAATACCTTAGACCAGTTATACATAAACAAGCCACAATCAGTTGGATTTGGAAGAACAGACAATACTGGAAATGCAGCCGATCTATCATCAAATCTTCAAAACTCTATGTCAGAAATGATGTCACCAATGTCATCAGCAAATCGAGGAACAGCTGCACAGGACTTTCCGCAAGAAGGGCAAAATATTATGGGTATGATGGATGCCACAGGGTCTTCTATGATTGGTGGCCGAGGGCAAATGAGGAACAATATAGATGGATTTGTAACATCCGTTAATAATATGAATGGACCGCTGACTGGAAATATTGGTGGATCCACCGCACAAGACTTTCAGCAACAAGGACGGGATTGGACGGGTATGATGGATTCTACAGGTTCTTTCATGACTGGTGGCCGAGGACAAATCTTGAACAATCTTGATGGATTTTCGAATTCCTTCACTGCTGTTGACGGCAGTATGACTGGAAATATGGGTGGTTCGACCGCACAAGACTTTCAACAACAAGGACGGGATTTGGTTGGCATGATGGATACTGCAGGGTCTTCCATGACTGGTAGCACAGGTCAAATCTTGAACAATCTTGATGGATTTTCAAATTCCTTCAATACGGTTGACGGAAGTATGACTGGAAACATGGGTGGATCCACCGCACAAGACTTTCAGCAACAAGGACGGGATTTGGTTGGCATGATGGATGCTGCAGGGTCACCCATGACTGGTAGCACAGGGCAAATCCTGAACAATTTTGATGGATTTTCAAATTCCTTCAATACGGTTGACGGAAGTATGACTGGAAATATGGGTGGATCCACCGCACAGGACTTTCAGCAACAAGGACGGGATTTGGTTGGAATGATGGATGCTGCAGGGTCACCCATGACTGGTAGCACAGGGCAAATCCTGAACAATTTTGATGGATTTTCAAATTCCTTCAATACGGTTGACGGAAGTATGACTGGAAATATGGGTGGATCCACCGCACAGGACTTTCAGCAACAAGGACGGGCTTTGGCTGGCATGATGGATGCTGCAGGGTCTTCTATGACTGGTAGCAGGGGGCAAATGAGGAACAATATAAATGGATTTGGAACATCCATGAATACTCTTGACGGAAGTATGACGGGAAATATGGGTGGATCAACTGCACAAGATTTCCAACAGCTGGGACAAAATATGATAGGTATGATGGATGCGTCAGGGTCTTTTATGACTGAAGGCCAAGGTCAAAGGATGAACAATGTGGACGGATTTTCAAATTCCTTAAATAATGTTGATGTAAGCTTATCAAGAAGCAGAGACTTTATGCGATCAAGCCAAGATATGCTTGGTATGCTGGATCCAAGTGGATCATCAAATGCTGGTGGTCAAGGTGGAACAACCTTTGATACTCTTAACGGACGCATGGATGTACGTCGATCACACATAAACGACTTTAAGCAAGCCGATCAGAATATGATGGGTATGACAGTAGAACAAGTTCCACTGGCCAATGGACCAATCGAAATGGGCACGTCATCCGGTGTTAGCAGGCATGTCGGCTCAGGGAGCAATAATGATATGTCCAATGCAATGTTTGATGGAGATTCTCAAATTCTTTCTTCCATGGATATTCAAGGACTGACCTTTAGAAATGGACAAGGACTTTCATCCACGAATAGCAACATCTTTTCCTCATCAGGATCACCTGTGATGGATATGAACAGACAAGCCTTTATGGATACTCGTGGCTTTACAGACCAAAATGGATCTCCAATGATGGATGGGGGGTATCGTGGTGCGCAAGACTCGACAGGACTGTCTGGTCCAAATAGTAACTTGATGGACTTTAACAGAGACTCTACATCTCAAATTCCCATGGGAAGATGGGCAGATTCACCTTCAGGTATCAGTCGCAAAACAAATAACGTAGGAAACTCTCCTTCCCAAGTTGATGTGAATCAGCCTGGATCACCTGTGACAGGTGTCGAGTCCTTCATGAATGCTCGTGGCTACTCGGACGTAACCGGACCTGTAATGATGGATGGTGGCATTCTTGATGCTGGAACAATGGCACGACTAAATGGTCAGAACGGTAATGTGCATTCAAACAGCGAATATCTATCAAGACCATTAGAATCCCAAGCCAACAGAAATGGAAATTCTGCCAGGGGCCGAAGTGATCGTCTCACCATTGATATGGCTGGTTCATTACCTTCTCAAAGGGACAGTACTCAGTATGGGTCATCTGTAATGAATGGTCTGTCTTTTAGTAATTCTCGTAGGTTCACCAACACAGACGCAGCTGGATCTTTCATGGCGGAGGGAGGCAATCGTGGAGCTCCAGCTTTCCCAGAAGCAAGTGGTTAGATGAACATTGATTAAGCGAGTATTTCCTTGAGGTCACATCCAATGTCGAGGAATTCGAGGAGCAATAGTTAATTGGACTTTTACTCCAATCAGTAAAATACGTTTATGGTTGTCATTTATTTATGCCATGAACATATTTTGTGTCTTAAAAAAGGACCAATCACAAATATATTGTTGGCTAGCGTTAATAAGGGTGTCTGTGTATAAACAATGTCTGCTTTCTATCCAATAATGCATATGTTGTTGAACCTGTACACATTTAGTCTATGAATAAAATGCTATTGTTCAAACAGTTGTGAGTGTTATTAATTCAAGATAGCATATGTGTCAGAGAACGAACCAATCCTCATGTCAGGGAAGTCTGGTAACCCTAAAAGACGTCCAACCTAACAAAATTCCGTATTAATGAATGATGGATACAGACTTAATTATAGGCTTTGGATATGTATAAGACCTCAACCACAGTGCTTCCAAAAGACTCCCATCACCGATCAAAACATGCGTACTGCTATAGTTCCCAAGGGGCGGTCGGGTAGCCTAGTGGTTAAAGCGTTCGCTCGTCACGCCGAAGACCCGGGTTCGATTCCCGACATGGGTACAATGTGTGAAGCCCATTTCTGGTGTCCACCGCCGTGATATTGCTGGAATATTGCTAAAAGCGGCGTAAAACCGTACTCACTCACTATAGTTCCCAAACGATATCTGTAGTGTATGAGTGAGAAAGTTAAGGAAGGAGCGAGTGAGTGAACAATTACTCATTTACCGACAAGTTGTTGGAACTAGGAACACACATCTTATCAATTTTCTACATTCCATCGATTCCATCAGCACGTCCATAGCATCAGTCACTCTTTAACATAAAACGTCATCTCCACCTATATGAACAGATGACTTAAAATCATTGATGACACCAGGTGTTCGTAAGAACGGTAAGCGTATACAGTAAACTACGGTTATAACGAACACGCTTATAACGAACTGACGGATATAACGAACTACTTTTTTGGTCCCGACTATTTGCTGTAGTTACGCTGTATATATGCTTATAACGAACTACGGTTAAAACGAACTAAAATTAGTAGTCCCTTTGAGTTCGTTATAACCGTACTTTACTGTAGTTTGGTTATATGTAACATGTAGGTAATATTAAACGTAACGTCAGAGAATTACCAGTCTCCATCCACCGAAACCAATCCCATTAGGCGTAAAAGGCAACATAGGGCGCCACTGGCTACCAGCAACTAATATTGCCACTCACTGGAATCATGGTCCCAGCGGCCCTCACAGTACCTCGGAATCCTGTACAATGAGCAAGCAGTATTAACGTCAGCAATCCGACTCCTTGTGGTTTTGCTTTGCTGTGTTGGGTTGCGTCTATTGGAATTACCAGAATCCTCTGATCTGACCCTGAATCCTAGATTCTCCCTGATTGAAGGTCCGGGGTTTTCAGCACTACATCATTGTGTGTGTCTAACGCATCCCTTCCTGCAAGTTTGCATACATCAAACAAGACCCACCGTGGTATGATTGAAAAAACAACTTTTTAAAGGGGCATTAAACCACATTCACTCACTGTGGTTTGACTATGACATTCCTTTATAGAAGAAATAATTGTTTATCGTACATAACAACACTGCAGGGAGAATAAAGTGCTGTATTATTGTGCGATAAACAACGACCAAGTGTGGTTTATTTCTTATATGATGTATCACCATTATTTACAGCCTCTTCGAAGAGGTTAATACCATTTACAAGTCTTTGAAGGGAATTTAGAAGTGATACACATAAGGAAGAGAATTTATGAATGTCAACTTCTTTATTATGAGGAACACAACGTTTCGGACAAAAATGCTTACTCGTTCATCGGGTATTCTTGATGAAGGAGTTAGCATGTACCCAAAAACGTTGTGTTCCTCATGATAAAGATGTTGACATCTTTAAAAAATCTCTTACTAACACGTACAAGCTTTAAAAACCATTTACCTGTTTTTAAATAATGATGATGATCTCGGCAATCTCGGGCAAGTCCATTGTATGAACAGGGGACGGGTATAAATTTGGTATTCACGGATAATAAAATGGTGCAGAGAATTGACGGCTATTATGCGTGTACCTTTATTCCATTACAGATTTCCATATCTCCCCCACTTTTTGCCCAGTTACATCAAAGGGGAATAGCTCACTACCCTCTCACAATGCATTGCTACGTCATCAAGTTGCGGGTGTATGCTCGAATCTCCAGAAATCACGTCATGATAGCTAGCTATCTTATAATTAGAAATATGTTTTTACACGCCCCCTCGACGAGAGCATCCTGGTAGCAGCTAAGGGACGGAACTCTGCACATCGACGCATTTAACCTCAAAGCCAGCCGTGACTGTAGACTGCTACACTACTATGTGAAATATTATAATACAAACTGCCTGTGTAGATTTAAAAAAAGACATAGATCTAATTTTGAAGTACAAACTCTTTTATCCCTTTTTTTTATTTTACATAACATGGTTACGTCTGAAATTCAGAAACTTGTATAGGAATTCAAATATGCATATGGATGCAAAAGGTGATAAAAGGTAAAACATCTTTCTTCGCTGTTCAGGTACGATAACCCACTTTGAAGTTTTCACATAAAGCAACAACGTCGCTTTAGGACGTGTCGTCAGAAAATATCCTCTCACATCGTTTCTAATAGCTAATGAGACATCCCAACGGAAGAATGACTACCAGCAAGATCTCAGACAACTAACTCTTGACTGAAGTCAGTTCCATCTACGGTCGTTTCTACACCATCGGGAGACGCCACAACAGCATCGCTGCCATCAACACGAAGAACCACTCCTCCAGTTGGCAGCAAAGCACTTGGTGGAAGTACGGTTCCTGGCTGAATGACTGGCGGAACACCTAATGGAATGACAGGTGGAGTGATTGGCTGAACACCTCTGATTGATGCAGGGCGATTGATACCTCCCACAGCAGGTTCCGGGATTCTTCTAATTGGCCCTTTACCGGCTCCAGTTTGACGAGAATTTTGTAATCTCTGCTGCACTTTTGGACGTGGCGGGTTTTGAACATTTTTTTGTATTTGCCTCCTATTTACCGGGGATGTTACGGGTCCAGAGGTAAAAGACTGGCCAGTGTTCGTCGGAGCAACTTTGTTATATTTTGCCATTATTTGTGGCGTAGAGGTTGGGGACGTTTCCCGCAAAATATTCACTGCCATCCCTTTGTTAAGGCCTTGTTGTTCTGAAAGTGTGAAACTTATGTTTTAGTTCGAAGCGATAACATTGACACTTTTCAAGGTTTGTGTACATCTTAGAGATAACTTGCAAACAACGATCTGTCAACTGATATACCAACATTACTAAATATTAACCCTGCACCAGTACCACGAAGGTAACTTCATGCCTTACTCTCAAAACAGGGGACGGTCGGGTAGCCTAGTGGTTAAAGCGTTCGCTCGTCACGCCGAAGACCCGGGTTCGATTCCCGACATGGGTACAATGTGTGAAGCTCATTTCAAGTGTCCCCCGCCGTTATGTTGCTGGAGAATTTCTTAAAGCGCCGAAAACCATACATCACTCACTCTCAAAACACTACCCTGTCTTTCCCATACCTGTGCCAGGAAGCTTGCCAGGCAATCCCATAGACATGCCAAATCCTTGTGAACCCTCAGAGTGTCCAAGTAGTGATGAGGCTCCACCAGGAAAGCCTCCTATAAGACTACCAGGCGTCACATCTAACCCGAGAAGACCTCCGTTCTGGCCCGATCCAAAGAAATCGCCAACAGGGCCTTGTCCAAACCCACCTGAAGTTTGTTCAAGATGTAGTCCTGGGAATCCTGTTTCCTTATTTCCAGTGCTTGACATTCCGCCAAGTAAACCCCCCGAACCCATCAGGTCCCCAGGAAACCCTGTGGAATCAACACCTAACAAACCAAGAGGACTTCCTCCAGAGAAACCCAGAGACCCTGGAGAAGGACCACCAAATGTGCCAGATCCAGACATATCCCCGGGGAAACCTGTTGGCGAGATGGTCTCGGAATAACCACCAAAGCCATGAAATCCGTTGCGGCTGTTGCCATAATTAGGGTCAAGTAGAGGATGCACAAAGCCAGGGCCTCCGATGGGATCAGATGGAATAAATGGACCTCCGGATGAGGATCCTACTTGTCTCCTTCCTGGGTTTCCTCCTTGTGGAAACAAGCTGCCTCTGGATGCGGGGGGTTTCAGTAGAAGCAGCTTAAAGGCAACGCTTTGGGGTAGGAGTGAGCGAATACCTTCAACAGAAATATATATGAAATTTTGTTGTATATGAAAATAAACATCAATTGAATATCTTTTAATTTGAGAGATAGCTTAGCTGCCAAGAACATCCTACTTGCCTGAAACTGACAATAGCAGTTTTATATTGAATATATTTCATATTTACTAAAGCTTGGTTATTTTCTTTTCTCGCTATATGTCTGAAATAATGTCGATGCGACGTTAAATATAAACTCACCATTGTGATGCCTTAAACTATCGAAACGGTCCCTATGATTGGTAAGTAAATGACATTTATGTTGTAAAGACTTGTGTTTGTGCGTACTCGCGGATCACAAAACTTCGGCGAGTAATTAAGTTAGTATTATGTAAAAAAAATGTTGCATATTTCACAATCAGTATTGCAGATGTAGAGGTTTCACCCCATATCATAAAATTAATTCCCGACAGCAGATCCGTATTGTCAGACGGTTCGCTTTTAATGTAATTAGTTTCAAGTTCATTAAATTTGAATGGAAAGGATCAAAGTATCGCAGCCATACTCACTAGACCCTGAGGTTGTTCTCCTACCACTAAAAACACCTGTGTAAATGATAAAGGACGGCATCGAGCGATACCTAAAGGCTGGAAGGTCTAACGTATCACGTGACCTTACTACGTCACAGTGGAATTCTTTTAAGCTCAGGGTGTTATAACTACTAGTAAGGAAATGTGTGTTGAAATCCCACGTGACGCTGAAAATAGCACAATAAGGTAAATATAATCGGCAAAACCCTTTCATAATCATTAAGAATATCTGCTGAAAGTATTACGAATCCGTAATCAAATACAATATATATGTCAAGAGAATAACCAGTCTTGAGTATCCGCCGAAACAGATTCCATTTGGCTGAAAGGGCTAAATAGCTGTGTAAATTATATGGATGGACCACTGAAAACCAGTGATGACACAAGGTGTTCTCGAAAAATATTTGTTTATGAATCACGATCAATTGGGGTGATATCAGATGATCGGGAACATCTGTGAGCCTGCGTGAAGATTTTCGAAATCTTCGTAGAAAGTGCGTGCTCAAAAGGAGTACATTCCTAGTGAGTGAGTGAGTGAGTGAGTGAGTGAGTGAGTGAGTGAGTGAGTGAGTGAGTGAGTGAGTGAGTGAGTGAGTGAGTGAGTGAGTGAGTGAGTGAGTGAGTGAGTGAGTGAGTGAGTGAGTGAGTGAGTGAGTGAGTGAGTGAGTGAGTGAGTGAGTGAGTGAGTGAGTGAGTGAGTGAGTGAGTGAGTGAGTGAGTGAGTGAGTGAGTGAGTGAGTGAGTGAGTGAGTGAGTGAGTGAGTGAGTGAGTGAGTGAGTGAGTGAGTGAGTGAGTGAGTGAGTGAGTGAGTGAGTGAGTGAGTGAGTGAGTGAGTGAGTGAGTGAGTGAGTGAGTGAGTGAGTGAGTGAGTGAGTGAGTGAGTGAGTGAGTGAGTGAGTGAGTGAGTGAGTGAGTGAGTGAGTGAGTGAGTGAGTGAGTGAGTGAGTGAGTGAGTGAGTGAGTGAGTGAGTGAGTGAGTGAGTGAGTGAGTGAGTGAGTGAGTGAGTGAGTGAGTGAGTGAGTGAGTGAGTGAGTGAGTGAGGTTTTATGCCGCTTTTAGCAATATTCCAGCAATATCATGGCAGGGAACACCAGAAATGGGCTTCACACATTGTACCTATGGGGGTAATCAATCTTAGGGGAACGAGCGAACGAGCGAACGCTTTAACTACTGGGCCACCCCTCCGCTAAAGGCTGGAACTGTTGCAATTTTGTGCAAAATATAGGGAAAGCCTTGTGGATAGCTTTTTGACATTATGCATCTGTATGAATATTGTTTTCTTGGTTTTCTTTGAAACGAATGGTCACCGCGTTTAATGACAAATGCCCTCGGGGTCAATGAATGAAGTTTACAGTAAGTTTGTAGCGTGGGATATGGGTATACAAAGTTGAATAAAACTTTGTTCTTTTCTGAGAAAGCAACACTTCAAAGCAACGAAACCACATGACATTAATTCCACTTCTAATGATTGTTTGTTCTGTAAATATCGAAGTACCTCCCTCCATTGTATTAAGGGCAATGGTTAATCTTTGCGACACGCATTTAGATGGTACACTTGCTGGACCCAGGAATATATCTCTCTTTGTCCGGCTCTCCATTGTACTTTGGAATCTTACTTATACCAAGTTCTTTGATTAACAGTTAATGTAGTGGTGCTTACATATGCTGTGTATGCTATATGAGGCTGTGTCAGGCTGTGTCGTTCCATGTATGCCAGCAAGCCACGTTATGGAATTAACCAGCGCATGAAATCAGCATTCGATGTCTACCCTGATATTCAAATAATCATTCCATGAATACATACGTGCTACACCAACATGCTGCGTATGGGCCTCATAACAGAACACCAGAGTGCACAAGATGAAACTCCAGTACGTCATTTCCGTGAGCTCTGCAAAACAATACCCGTATAAGAAGTGAGATAAACTTCCAGGCAAAAGAAAGTTACACTTAAAACTTGGATTTTATCAACAAACTACAACAGTTATCAAAACGTTACTAGGCTGAAATCAGTCGCCGAAACACTGTAAACTTAAGGTCGAAAACACTACTTTCCGCATCAAATACGTCACGTTAGAATAACCATTTCTTGTTTGTTTCATCAAACATGGGTGTATACTTCCCTTTTCCCGGGAGTTTATTTTTTTATATTATTTATCGGAATTCATTCATACAAGCACTCTTCAATGCGCGACTACCCAAATTTGAAATACAGAAAATTACGTACTCCCAAGGACTGCTAACTTAAAATTATTTCTGATTAACCACGGTTCATAAAAAGGAGTTCTTTCGAAGCAAAGGAAATTTATAATTCTCTCACTTTATATTGACCAATATACTCATTATAAGACCAATATATTCATTTGATTTATTTGGTTTGTTTGTGTGCTGCTTAACGCCGCACTTAGCAATATTCCAGCTATATGACGGCGGTCTGTAAGTAATCGAGTCTGGACCAGACAATACAGTGATTGATATCATGAGCATCGATCCCTGCAATTGGGATCGATGACATGCATCTACCATGTCAGCGAACCTGACCACCCGACCCCGTTAGTCGCCTCTCAAGGCATAGTCGCCTTTTACCTCAAGCATGGGTTGCTGAAGACCTATTCTACCTCGGTTCTTCACGGGGCCATTTGATTTATAATGTATAATAAAATCGATCAACATCAACACACATACTATCTTCATAATAATCAAAAATGAAAATGCCTTATAGCGGTAAATACAACAACTAAAGTATATCAGTTTGGTGATCAAGCAGTTTGTTATGCAAAGACAACAAGTATCTAGGTTTGTTCTGGACACCATATGACGACTTCACCACATTCCGATCATACCATCTGTGGCCATAAGATCTGTGACCATTTTACCGGAAGCATTGAGTGACAATGCCTTAATCGATATCTGCAGTAAAGAAGATCGAGACTCGTGTGCGTTATAAGCATCGTAATAACGACCATGTGTAACACAGTGCAACATTGGTAATAAAGGACAGGATCAAAGAGTACGCTGTATCCGGTAATTTCCCGTGTTGGTTTTAAATAGGCTTAACAGTATACTACTGTCATGAGGCAAATGAATAGTGGCTGAATGAGTTTGAACACTATTCCAGTAATATCACGGCGTTTCAGCTTAATGTGGGAGGAAAGCCCGAAGTGATGCATGTCTTAGAGGTTTACCATTTTGGTTAACCCACGAGAATGGGAATGGTGCCGACAAGCCTAGAAACATAGCAGGATTTGCACCCTCAATCATAGGTTTCTGGTTTCATAAAAAGTAGTTGTAGACCCTTTAATGTGAACGTCTCATATTCCTATGTTCGATGTCATATGTAGAAACGAACTTTCTGAAGTGTTTGCTTCACATTTGCATCACTACGAAGAGACATTTCCAACATTTCTTTTAGATTCATCTTTGCATCTAAATATAAGCGACAAAACCCTTTCCATATTCAATAGAAACCGCTGCTAAAAGCAGAGTCGATTGTACGATTCCGACCTTCTGAGGAGCATGTGTTAATGAAGCACTATTAAATAGTTATAATACCAGGTGGTCGCGAAAAGGTGAGCGTATCCTGCCCCACCGATGGCACCCGTCATAAACACATGCAAAGGCAAGTCAATTGTTCACCTGGAAACATGGGAACATATGATACAAGTCAAAATAGGGAATTGCATCAGACATAAGTTTTGTCACTGATGAGTCAAATTTGGAAATGCCCTCCACATGTCTACGATGCGTATCTATTATCTATTTATCTATTCATTATGTTTCCCACAGGTAGGTCCAAAGACGGGAATGTTTTATTCAACAGTATGTATTGTTTTATCCAAATCTGAATTCAAAATAAATATTAATTCTAATATTAATTCGTTATTAACCGTAGTTCGTTATAGGCATATAAACAGCATAACTACAGCAAATAGTCGGGACCAAAAAAGTAAGTTCGTTATATCCGTCAGTTCGTTATAAGCGTGTTCGTTATAACCGTAGTTTACTGTAATAATCATCTTGTCTAAAATGTAACCAGATGAAGTGAAAGCCTATGGTAGATAAACTTACCCTATATCTCAAACACCTTCTTCCTTCCACCACAGTCTGTCTGTTTGAATGACAACGTGACACACATTATTTAATATCTCTCATCTATTTTGGTTATTTGAGAGTTCCTAGAGCTACCGTTAATAATGACAAGTAAGCTTGATTTATTAATGATCTATTCTGAGTAATTTCTTGGTTTATTTGACAGATTAACCCGGAGAACAGCAAAGGGAAATATAGTCAGTTTTTTACTTGACATTACAGGACTGGCCCTAAACGTTTTGTACTTACCTGTGCATATAAAACATAAGCTTTAGATGATTATGATCAATCAATTTGTCTTTCTTTGCGAAATATCGATTTACATGCTGAAAGCGACAGCATAATAATCCTTGACCATAATTATTATTATGATGATTTATTAATTATATATTGGACTCTACTAAATTTAATTTGGATATAGTTTGCTGTGTGGTAATCACCTATCTGATGACACTGACACAAATGACTGTTCTTGGATACGTCGACTGTCTCTGGTCCTCGGTTACAAGGGTGAAATGAAGAATTCTACCATAAATTGGAAATTTACTCGATTCTGATTGGTCCAGCTGAGGTTGTCAAATCACAATAAACCCCCTTTAATTGAAACAGCCGATTTGAAGGCGGTATCATCTCGGAAGCTAATGTTCATAGAATAGTGCCTTTTTCAGTCATTATCGGTTGGCATATTTAAATATTTATATCTTCAGTTATAGGCTGCTAAATGCAAAGTTACTACACTTCTCGAAGGATGTGTGTCAATATATTTCGTGCAGAAAACACGCTTAGAAATCTTAAAAGAGAAACTTGTCATATCGTTTACGTCACATTGAGAGATATGCCGTCATAATACATTCATGACAAACTTGTGTTATTCCGGTAAGAGCCGAATAGCGACTCGTGCCCCTTTCATGGCCATTTTTGCGACTGGGTCCCGTCTAAGCGCAAACGGGCTTAGCTAAAAGAATTGCCGATGATTCACGTATATTTTCCCCTTATATCATATTTATTATATACTTCAATGTGAAAGACTGAGTTTTCCGAAGTTGAGAAAAGTGATATTTTTATTGCGATGAACACACCACTGATGTTTCACTGCTGTGAACATAACACTTTGACAGAACTATTTTCACACAGGAGTGACCTCCCTTCATATTGTCTCAAATTATCGTGAGTGTCTGTCCCGTACACAGACTGTTGACCTCTTTTTTACGTTAGTTCCACATTGACAAGGCAAAATAATGACAGATGGTCATTTTTTGAGTAAATGTCGCTTCATGCAGTTTGTTATTCTCCTGAAAATGTTTCGTTATAAACTGTAAATTTCTCATTTAACTCAAGCGCCATTTTTGTTACTTGACTAGTGTGTATTCTTTCGCTTGCAGCAGCGGTCTCGTAGTTTTCTTGATAGTTTATGGTAGTTGATTTTGTATATAAGCATATCTATATGTATAATACAGAATATTCGTGACCCAAATATGTTTTTGTCACTTTTGTTTATATTTTTTAAGATTTTGAAACAGGAAACTACTTTTTTTTGTCGCAAATACAAGTGGTGGTGAACCGTCCCTGTGTGTTAGGTAGGGAGAATTTTCCGGTAGACAAAGTATACAATAAATAGGATAGTCCATGTGTCTCGAGAAATATCATGTTTCTCTCATGGGACCCTCGATGAGAGAAACATGATATTTCACTCGACACATGAAATATCCTCTACACATTCCAGATGCTATTCAAAATACATCTGGACTTACAGTATTATACAGTATGATTGAACACATTTAACTGTATCTTGGGTATATTGTATATGCAAGACATATGTAAATCTAAACTTATTCCTGAGGGATTCTTTTACCGACGTACTTGAAGTCATACGGGCATTCTGATTGGTTTGTCCTATTTTCGCATATAACGTTCATCGATAGGCAAATCTTCGTGCAGGTTACTGAAAGAGGCTAGTTGTCATAATGGTGACGTGCGGTGTAGAACGAAAGCTTTGCAAAACTTTTTTAGTTTTCTTTTGGGTGCCTACTTCATGTCAGCTTACCAAGTTGCTGTGCTTATATGCTTCCAATGCCTGTTTTATGTTCAAGTGAAGTATTACGGTGACAACAAACTGCTAGAGCATATACAGCGCCATATGCATATTTTGTATAAAGGCTTCGCGTTTTATTGAGTCATGGTAGAATGCGCGTTCGGTTCCAAATTCAATTTAACCGGCTAAATCTACAGGTAACCTAGCTGTACATTAAAACACAGTATGTTTATCTCATTATGTGTTTTAACAACAACAGGTTTCTAAATAAGTACAATTTCTTTAAAAAAAAGTCGACTTGTTTACATTTTCAACGTCGTCACTGCTACATTTGTCATCTATCATCAGTTATATTCCACACATTTCGTGAACTAAGTATATACAGTTTTCATTGGATACCTCTTTCATGTCCCAGGAACTACTTTCTATCACCCGTGAACAAATGATACTCCTGCCTAATAAAAATCATTTTCTTGACAGCTTATAAATTAACACCATCATCAGTTTGCTTTTTGTCACTTAGATTTATATATAATTAGTGTTTGTGTCACAGTATGCTGCTTCGTGAATGTAGGTTCATGAATGAATGGCCTTCACTGCGTTTGTTCTCTTCTCTTACTAATGTCACTTAACATATATTATCTTAACCTGACGATCAATTTGCAAATTTCTCTTTCAGCGACATACCGTCATACCCGTGTGTGACGCTGGCAGCCCCTAAGCAGTTTCCAATTTGAAACTTTTGGCAGGATTATGAATCCACCTCGGGGGAAGCTTAACTCCCCAACCACGCTCTTCTATCAAACTAGTTCCTTCCCCAAGGCGTTCTGCTCTATTTTCCATGTTGACTGACCTTATTGTGATATATTCTTTATGTAAAAGGACATTAGAAATCAGGCTAGACAGCAATGATCTTTAAAATGGAAGCGGTAAAACACACTCATGAATGTCAATCCAGAATGGTGTTTTAGTACTCGCAAAATTATAAAATAGAAGCCATTTCTTATAACTGAAAATACCATAGAACATTCTATTGTAAGTATTTAGCTAAATCACAACTAGATTAGTATCATGTCCTCTTCTACAAGACCCGTGAAGATTCCGGGGTAGAATAGATCTTCAGGAACCCATGCTTGCCGTAAAACGTGACTATGCTTGTCGTTAAAGGCGACTAACGAGATCGGGTGGTCAGGCTCGCTGACTTGGTTGATGTATATCATCGATCCCAATTGCGTGGATCGATGCTCATGATATCAATCACTGGATTGTCTGGCCCAGACTCGATTATTTACAGCCCGCCGTCATATGGCTGGAATATTGATTAGTGCCGTGTTTAAGAACAAACAAACAAACTTTATTGAAAACACCTCCAGCCATGATCTAGTGAGCAATACTGCGTCTACTCAACAGGACACAACACTCCAAAATGACACCCCACTCCAAAGCCTATAATCGTTTGTCCATTTCGCATCTTACAAGAAGGGGATGGAATTTTAAATAATGATGATGACATGTTTCGTTCTTTTTTCAGAGGAACAATAGACTGCCACCGGTGGGGTAGGATACGCTAACCTTTAAGCGAATGTAGCCGGGCGTGGTGTGATGTGTCCAGCCACTAGGCTGCTAGTCAAAACATGAGGCAGTTCTTGAAGATGATGATGATTTTATTCTTTTGTAGTAGATGGTGGGAGGGAAGCTGTAAACAAGAGTCCTCCCTCCATAAAGAGTTCATGCAGAATAAAATCATCATCATCTTCAAGAACTGCCTCATGTTTTGACTAGCAGCCCAGTGGCTGGACACATCACACCACGCCCGGCTACAAAATGGCGCCCAACGTGGGGCGCCAATGTAGCGGCCATAAAATTTCCGAGTCCCGTGATGGGATTCGAACCACGGACCTTCTGATCCGAGGTCGGACGCCTTGTCCACATGACCAAAGAGGTTAACCCCGTCAGCAAGCTGACAAGGTAAGGATGTCATCTGTGGGATGACTCCACGCCCTGCTACACGAACATCTGGCATCATCACTTTTTGATAGTGATTTATAAACACATGCTCATGATGTCATCGAATTGTACAATAGACCCTGTGGCAGAGATTTCCTATGATTGACTACTAAGTGTTGTGTCGCTTTTATTCAAATAGAATGGTGCCATGCCTCATTTGATGAGTCTAGTCCTCGTTACTCACAACAAACAGTGACATGTGTAAAAAATGACAGCTATGAGATAAATATACAAATGATATCACATCGAATTTAGTTACATTATCATGCTTGCCTAAAGGCAAATTAGAAAACTGCTTGAAATGAGTTGCGTTAAACAAATATTGCCATATTGACACAACAATCTTCACAAATGTGATGGAACATTGTTGTTTTAACAATCAACAGAGTAACAACACGAACGAATTTCAATTCAAAGAGATTGTATTTATTATAAAAGAGAACATCATATAAAAATGCTGTACATTACTGATTAACAAAGATGAGGCGGGATTCAAATGACCATGAAACATTTATATCTACATGGAATGTATAACGGTGCATATTTAATGTAATTGTTTGCTCTGTAATGTGCCTGGCCAGCAAGCAACAAAAGGTCGGATCACAAATGTATCACAAAGTTTAAGTTTCTTCACTGACGTTATGCTTGGAAAACGCCACCATCAATTGAGTGCAATCTTCCGTATATGTCCCTTACTTCCGCATCACTACCATCAGCATTTATCACATATCCCCCGGGGAAAAGGCCTTTTGGGGGAACAAACTCCCCTTTCCTGTACTTGTGCTTTATCATGCCTACCCTCCTCATGAATTGTTGAAAGTATCGCAGAAACATTGGGTCGGTGAACATACTTGAATACCCCATAAACTGCTGCATTGGATTGACAGTGCTCTGAGTATTGGTAGAAGGAGCAGGGACGGGAGCCTGATGTGTCAGTCCTTGACCTGCATTTTGGCTTTGAGGTTGACCGTTTCCTTGACCTTGAC